TGAAACGACAACCACAACAAGAAGCGGAACAGCCGAAGCAAATTCAGTCCATATTCCTGTTCGGAATCCAGAGTTTCGGATCTTCTGATCCTGTTTTTGTTGGTGCAGTATCGGGCTCGGAACCAGGTGCTCGCCCTGACAGGGTGTTTGGCTGGACAACGCGGACGTTCACGTAAACAATGGCCCAGTGAGTTGCACGCCCAGGAGCTAGAGCTGAACAACATCCCAAAAGAGGCTCTGATCGGCGGATTCAAGACTCCATACTCAAACCGTCACGAAGCAGGCGAGGACATGAAGCAAAAACCTGCGACTTTGGTCTTCAAAGCGCTGCTCTAGGCCTCCTCTTCGTCGTCACAGTTCCGTGGGGCTGACTCAGAGGCAACATAAACCCGCACCTGCAGCAACGGTACACTGGACTGTTGGGCCAGTAATCGGTGCTTCGGTGCTCTTGATGCATGAAATCTGTAACTCAGGGTAAGAAGTTAGGGAGGAAACGGTGTTTAAGTTTGTTGAACTGGGAGCGCCTGGTCTTGGTTCAGCCAAGATTTGGACTGCCTTCAAGGTCGTGTGGAAAACCTCAATGATGCGACCTTTAAGGGTTCACCTGTAGACTCAACCAACTACTCAGTACTGGTCGCAAAATGATTTCTTCCAGGCTTCGGTGCAGAGAATGAGACAGGCCTGGCGGACATGTTTCAGGAAAGCTGTTGTCTCTGAATGCTGAGACCCAGAACCTTGTCGGAGACTCAGAAATCTGGAACTTGGCTTGCTGCCTACAGTGCTTACAGCACAGGTAGGGCCAGTTTACGGACTTATTCTTCGTTGCACGTGCCCTCGGCTTTTGATCGCAAGACCTGAACTTCTGAAGCAAGACTCTCACCTCTGAATCAAGGCAGTCCATCAATGCCTGGACCATGCGTAACTGCGCAAATCTGGCACAACCCAACAATCTTCAGCCTAGCCTGACGAAAGTCCATCGCCATCATGGACTCTCAACTCCAAAAACCGCTCGCCGCAATCTAAGCCGCGCCTGAATTTCATGATTCTCAGCGGCCGTCAGCCTCGAGTCTCTCTTGAGACGATTTTTGGTTTCTTACTATATGGTTGCAATAATAACGACATAAGAAGAAAATGCAAGGTGTCATGAAACAAGATCACAGCACGAACCCGTAATGGCTACCGTTATCAGTAGCTTGCTGCCTTGTTCATTGCATCGACATGTCTTGGTGCAACTGTTGCTTGTTGTGGTACCGGTCACCTTTCCCATGTGTTGGCATCAAGCTCCTTGCTGCTGACGTACTAACATGATTCATGATTCGTAGGATCCTTCGAAACTCGCATGGCGGCTTATAACTACTTGGACCTCTATCCGAATCGTAAGTAGGATGGCATTGCTCGTGACATCGCGATTACTATTCCTATTTCATACTGTTGCTATACGCGCAATGAACGTGACACTCCCTCGTCGTCTTTCTGGATTTCCACGCTTGCCCCCGTTTGCAGAGAGAGGTTGATGAAGACGGGAACAAACGATTAAATAGGCGAGACCAGTGTAGAACAGCGATTCCCAATCTTACGTGCATCTGTTTAACCTGTATGAAGCAATCCATATGCAAAAAGGAAGAGAGACACAGAGAATAAGATAGATAGGCATATCATGTGCCTCTGTATGTATATGTTACATGCAGGTATGAAACCCCATGCACGCACACTACGCTTGCTTGCCTCCTTGCTCCCTACCTACTTACTTGCTTGCTTCCTTGCTGTCTTGCTTACTGTTACTCACGTACCTACGTGCTCCTACATACTTATCTACATGCTTACTTACTTGCTTGCTGGCTGGCTTGCTTACTTACCTACTGACTTGCCTACTTGCTTACTTACTTACAAATATATACTTGCTTACTTACTGCAGTTCTCACGAGCAACATAGCATGCACATGCAAACAAGTGCTGAGCCTGACTGTCGCCGGCTTTTTCGGCCGTGTCTGCACGGCTCTCCTGGACGTTGGACATACTATAGCAGCGGCAAAACAGCGCAATAGTGATCAATCGTGATGCGAGAAAGAAGTCGATAGAAGCGTTTATCCAGGAAGAGATGCCAACAAGAAATGACATTGTTCTTCCTATCGAAGTGCCCAGCCTGTGGCTCCCGGCCGAAACTGGTGAGCAAACCATAGACTACTCGGGCAACACGGGTTCCTAGGCTGAGGCTCTGAGGCCTTCGACCTTCAGACTGTTGGTTTCCGCTGCGAGATACACGGATTCAGGGCTTGAAGATTAGGATTCAGCTTTGTGGCCTTGACCCCCAATCCTGAAGTCGCAAATTCAAACGCCCACACTGTAAACCCCTGAACAAAGGTTCTCAAGATCTCTTAGGCATTGCATGCCCAGGCCTTGCAGCACCAGAGCAACGCAAGCGTCTGACAGCGGCCAAGACCAAGAATATCACCTCGCAGTACAGGCCGCCCTTTCTCGGAGTTCGGATGCTTGGATACATACCAATTCCCACCGAGAGTATTCCAAACATTTCGGGGAACGTCTGGCCTGCAAGGACTGTCTACATGCCCCGTCGAGGACGAGAATACACCACCGTTCTCAACATTGTCATCGTGCTTCATGGTTCAGTCTCATTTCTGACGGTGCGGCTTCCACAAATCACAGTGCGAGTTTATCAAACAGCAATGCCGGTGTCGCAGCTTGACACCTCAGGGCGAACAAGACTCGAACAAATCTCAAGATTCGGGCACGATAAGTCGGGCTCTCCGCGTGGGTTCACAACTTCACCATCTCTCAGTGGCTCCACCGACGAAAGTAGGAAGCACAACTCAGGTCGACCACATAGCGTACTCGAATCAAGCGCGACACTAACTTGGAGGTGTCAGGATGCCCGTTGAAACGCACAGCTCGCGTGGAACTGAAGATCGAAAGTCTGAGATCAGCACTGAAGCCAGAAGCAGACTCGACCAGAAGAAGCTGTCATCGCGCAAAGATGGCTGCATGGACCTGGCTTGACGATTGTCGCTGGTGACTGATGTGGACTTCGACCGACTGGGCGAGGTCGCAAGTTTCACTCCTTCTCAGCTCTTAACTCGTGGAATAGTCAGGGCAAGAGGAAACTGCCGATTCAAACTTGGCTCCCATCCCCAGACACCCTGGTCATGAAACCGGGTAAGCAGGCAAAGCACCAGATCCTGCCTGAAAGATGCACCAGCAGCAGCAGTTGGCACGAGAGTTACTTGCGTCTAAGAGCTGTGTTTCGGACGCTCCCTCATTGCAGGCTTGGTCGGAACTTTCAGGGTTAGGGCCGGTTAGTTAGTGTGTGGAGGATTGCAGGGCGCGTCTGATTCAAACATAAACAGTCTGCCCTTGTATGTGTCTTAAAATACTAGAAGTCCAAGATCGGAGACAGAAGGACTTTACGTCGGTCTCAGCCGGTCATCTGATCGGTGGCCCTTACTGCTATACTGATCCGCACATCCAGCTCTTGCATCTGTCCTCGTGTCTCTGCCATGACACTCCGCGGATGTTGTGCCGACTGCTGTAAACCTCACAAATGGACCGAGGCCGAACCAATGCTTCATGGAGTTGCGCCTGTGCCGAAAATGCTGCAGGTGGCCACAGCGGATTGCAACAAGCAGTTCGGCACTTAGACTAAACCCCGCATCCTAAATCTAAAACCCTGAGACCCAACAGCCAAAGCCTCAAGTGAAAACGAGAATACGAAAGTGGGGACCGTCTTCCTCGGGTCACTGCCGAGCCCTTCAATAGCACAGGAGTTGTACTCGCTCTCTCTCTCGTTCTCTCTTGCTCTCTCGCTCCCGCTGTCGCTCTCGTTCTCGCTCTGTCCGTCTCTCTCTCTCTCTCTCTCTCTCTCTCTCTCTACCGGGCGTAGGGATCGGGCCAGCGTCCAGGGCCCTCCCCCTGTGCGAGTTCGCACACCCGCATTTCACGGGTTGTCCACTATCCCCCGTCGGTTTCACGGAAAGGGGCTCGGCTTTACTTGTAAAGAGAGAAGGTGGGTATTTGTCCCCCCCCAGAGTCAACAACAGTGCCCAAACAAAAGCTAAAGCAGCGAACCATGCAGAGCATATACCGGCCTTCTCCGGGAGCAAGAGGAAAAGGCATGCTGTTCCCCGCGGTTTCACACGGGTTACTCTGGACATGTCAAGGTCGGAAAGGGGCGAATTATGGCCTCTTGTCCCCCGAATTCAGTCGCGAAAGGTGTGCTGAAAAGAAACTAGGATTAGGGACCTTTGTCCAGCCCATTGGAGTGAGTTTGCCCGAGAAGGGCCATGTCGGCCCGTATAAAGAATTCACACCGGGACGCAGCTTCGCTGGTACTTCCAGGTACACAGTGGCGTCGCAACGAAAGATCGAAGGTCTGTGCAAGTGCATGACAGCTAGGATGCATTACGGGAACGAGGGCAGGTCAGTGTCATCCCCCAAAAGAGCAACAAAGCAAACCCAGTAAGGACACATCCCCCCCCATCGCTCCCTCAAAACTTGTTACACACGCCTTCACTCACTTTGTTCATCGTCGTCGCTCGCAGCTGGCCCGCATATGCTGTTGGACTTGCTGCACTGCCCTCCAACTCGGGTTGGGTCGGAGGTTGACTCTCAGAGGGCTGCGGCTTGGTGAACGAGGCCTTTGAGCCTCCAAGGTAGAGCTCGAACTGGCCGTGGGTTTCTCTGCCCCCCCCGGAGTCTGGCTGGCGTCGTCCTGGTCGACATTCTCGTTGAGGCTGTCGCTCCCCCAGTCCGGTGCATCGTCATTCACCTCCCCCGTCGTCGGGAGTGTCCCCTCCCCCGGTGCAGCAGGTGTACGGTTTTGTTCGTCGTCGGGCTTGCTCTTCTTGTCCTTGTGCTCCTTCTTGTTTTTGCGGCGCTTTCGGTCTTTGGTCTTCCCCTCCTTCTTGGTCTTCTTGTGCTCGGACTTCTCCGCCTTTTTGGTCTTCTTGTGCTCGGGCTTCGCTGGCTCATCCCCCTCACGAGATGTGTTGAAGACCCGTTTCGCCTGAGACAAGAGTGGGGCGACCTTCCACGGAAACCTCCCCACGTAGATCCTCAGCTCCTCTTCTATACGTGGGTTGTGATTCGCCACCAGCTCCACGGGTTTGTCGGCATTCCTGCCGGTGGCTCGCCTTTCGTTGTGGCGCTGCAGGTAGCACTTGTAGTCGGCGGCTTCCTCATCCGGCAGTGGTTCCCCCGTCGTCCAGCCCACATATTGTTGGGAACGCCAGAGGTAGTGGATGTCTCTCCCGATCCACCGGTCGAGCGGTCCTGGTTCACACAACAACGCCAGGCCGCCTTCTGTTTCGAAGCGGACGAAACGTGCCCATGGCTTCCCACCTCCCCCGCCTTCAGCGTCCTCTGGGCTGCGGGTCTGCACCAGTACTTTCTGCGCAGCTCCCCCGCGTAGGAGGTCACATGCCCTCCCCGTGCTGGTGAAGGTGCCGTTGGCGACCATGGTCTTGTAGCATCCTTCCCCCGGCTCATGAGCTTTGTGGCAGAAGGGGCCTTGCAAACACGCAAGGCAACTCACCCCCATCTCCTTGAGCACTTCTGCCAACTTACATTGCTTTCCCAGGTGGTGTTGACCTTTGCGGGCTTTACAGATGGAGACCTCAAGCGCTGTCTCCCCCTTTGCCCGTCTTCCCCCCCGTCGTGGGGTTCTTTGAAGAGCTTGCCATCGAAGTAGACGTGGTACCGGTACTTTGCGAGATCACCGTGTGGTCCACAGGCAAAAAGTATGCCCTTTCCCCCTACTAGCGGGCCACCTTCCGAAGAAGGGCTGCGGTCGGGTTCCAGGTTGAGCGAGCCTACAAGGGGCCTCTTAAACAAAGTGGCAACGGGTATGCGGTATGCAGACTCAAGCAATGCTGGGGAAGACAGGAAGGCTCTCCCGGAGTTACAATCCAGGCCAACCCCCTGCCTCCCCCCCCGGCAAAGGGGCGTCACAGACCCCAAAGCACAGGTGCATTACTTGAGCCAAAATGGCTACTTCTCTCTCTCTCTCTCTCTTTCTCTCTCTCTGTCTGTGTGTCTCTCTCCCTAGCTTTACGCGGTGCCAAGCCCGACCCTGAACCTCTGAAGAACTACTGCACAACCCTTGCACAAGACAATTATGCGGACTGAACTGCGAACCCCAAACTCCAGGTCAAACCCGAAAACTTCCATCCCAACCCTCAACCCCTGAAGCACTGCACAGCCCACAAAACACTTACGCAAGCACTCGCTGTTTTCAGCACCGGTCAGGTTTCCATGCGGGCCTGGCGCTGAAGGAGGCAATGCTTGTTCTGCTGATCGCTCAACAAAGAGTACCGATCCGATGGCTTTCCACGTAACTGTTTCGAAAATTCATCCTGTGACGGTCCACCCTTCTTGTCTCACGTGATCCGCTTGTGTCGTGGCAGCACATCAGTTCGCACGACTGGCAAGATCAATCGAAAGCGACGGCTGGCTAGGAGCTGCACGGCAAGAGGCCACGACACATTCTGCAACGCAACAGCATACATATAGCTGTCTAGGCGAGGGTTCACAACATACACGGATCATGGCATTGGTATCAGTATAGCAGGAAAGATGAGAAAACACCCACTGCTAAGGTGACAGACTCAGGGAGCCGATTCTCAAGCTTCCAATGCCAGCAGCAAATACAGCTCAGAACGACATGTAGATTCCCTCCTGCCTGCAGAAGTTCGAGTTGAAGGTCAGCCTTGCAGGATAGATGGACGAGGACCACCCGAAAGAGAGTCCGAGAGCGAGTCGGAAAGGGAGAAAACAGATGTACGTGGTACTGAGACGATGGATGTTTCAGACGATGGAGACAGATCTGCCTGCATGTAAGCCAGCAGGCGCGAAGGTAGACAGCTTTAAAGTGACCGGTCGATGAAATCACAGGGTTCATCTCAAAGCCAACATTGGCTGCGTCTTGAGATTGAGTTTCTCGAAAGTGGCCGGGATCCGACATTGGGCAGCGAAAGTGAATTGCCCAATCTGTCTGCAAGTGCGCAGCTCTTGGGTAAACGAACACATAGATCTCCCCAAGCTTCCAGCATGAAAGTCTTAACCACCAATCATCACGGCCCGCGAGGCTCACGCTGTCGCCTAGACCCTGAACCCAAGGACTCCGCAACATTCCACAACATTCCACAACCCTACTGTAAACCCTACGACGCACTAAACTCCCAACCCCCAAAACCCCAAACTCGAACGCCAAAGCCCTGTATAAGTCTTGTATAAGCCCCAAACACGCCAAAATCCTCAACACCCCTCCCCCCTCCAAAGAAAATCTAGGAATGCTTCACAAAGAGGTCCAAGCAGCGGCCGAGCAAAGCTCCGAGAGATCCACCTCCCCTGACTCTGTGGCTCGAGTCATCAGCTCCCGAGCACGCCTGGTTATCACAAACGGGGTGCAACTGTTATCTCATAGTACTTTTATGTACGGAACCCCTAAGGTAGACTATCTCATGTAGGGGTCGAAGAAGAGTCGCAGAG